GGGGGATGTGGGGTCGAGGCTGAGCATATTTCTATGGTGCTCCTTGCGGCAGGGCGAGACGACGCGGGGGAGGACGGCGCGGGGTGAGGCGGGGCGCGCTCATTTAGGTGATGGCCAAAGCAGTTCGCTTCTACTCGAAACGGCAGGCGGGGTACGCCGCACCAGGTCTAATTATGCTCAAGTTCCCCGGCCCGGCTCGGCTCCACAGATGTCGTTCGGGTCCACGTCGCCGCTGCTCTCGGACCGCCACGAGTTCCCGCTCTTCAGCCGCACGGCCGCGCCGCAGTCCTCGCACGACGCGGCACGCACGGCGCTGCTGCGCGCCTTCGGCTGGGACTCGGTGGCCGCCCTCAGCCAGGACCGCGACGTGCACTCGCTGGTACGTACCGCACCACCGCAGATACAGTAGTTCGAACTCGTAAAAAATGTTTTGCATTTCACAACATTTAAAAAAATGTATTTTTGTAAACGATTTGTTTGAACATTGTTTAAGTTTTATGACATTCGTTTATGTAACTCCACATATGTGCATGGACGTTTAGAGTATGCTGCCGCACACCCAGAAGACCTCGTCTTTGGGGGAAAAGTCATATTCGTTCCATTTGGATAACGAAAAAATTATTGAAGAGAAAGAAAAATTTGTCAAATTAAACACAATTTTGTTGAGCTGAAAATTATTTTTTTTTGTCACGGCAAAGTCGTGATTTTGTTCCCAGGAAGATACGCGGTTTTCTGTTTTGAGTATTTAAAAGTGTTCTTGTTTTTTTTTTGTTTTTTTCCCACTAGCACAAAAAGATGTTGAAGTGTTTGAGTTATTCACACGGTTGGAATTGTTGCAGGCGGTGAACAGCTTGGTGACGGCGCTCGAGCTTGCCAACATATCCTGCCGCGCGAGCGTCACGTTCGCCGAGAACGACTTCGACGACCAGCTCACCCTACTCAAGGTGAGGATCGGGTCGGGCCAGGGGGAAAGAGAGGGGGGGGGGGAGTTGGGGAAATGGCCGTCAATTTCGCCAGGAAAATCTCAGCAGCACCCAACCGCAGCAGCCAGGCAGGCCCTATCCACCCGCGCACCCGTAACCCTCCCCTAAGAGAAGCGGAGATGGAGGGCAGCAGAGGGAGAGAGACAGGCAGAAAGGAAAAGAGATACGAGGCTGGAAGGGTGAGGTTGGGGGGCTGCCATGAAGCCACAGCTGCCCCCTCCCCCCTTTCCCCTGCTCTGCGGTGTGTTCCGCGTCAGGATAAACTGCCACAAACACTTTACGATGTTTACCATATCGTGTACGCCGGGTGGGCTCGGCCGGGTCGGGCTGGGGCGTGGTTCATTCGGCATGTTTGACACGTCCGCCCTGCTTTCCAACGTAAATAAAGCGAACAGCGAAGCCTACTCCAACCCCACACCCCCAACCCGAAAAACACACACTTCACCCTCTCCATGCCCATTCTGTTCTCTCCACCCCCTCTCCTTATTTCTCTCTCTTTCTCTCTCTCAATATAAATGTAGATAAGGACAATATACACGCGCAATTAATTTTTGTTTATTGTGGAATTGCGATCTTCCCAACCAAATAATTCACCCCGGTTTATGTTTGCAGGATCTGGACACGCGGATTATCCTGGGAAGCTTTTCACGTGAGGTGGCGCCCAACATCTTCTGCAAGGTGAGTTGTGGCCTTCGGGGGTGCGACGCACAGGAGATGAAGAGGAGACGGAAGTAAGGAGGGAAGGAAGAAGGAGGGGGGAGGGGGGACTTGACGGCCCCTACGTGAGGTCCTGAACCTCCTCCTCTACCCCCTGGTCCTTTCCTTCCTTTGGTTTAATCGCTTGAAAAGCAGGTTGGTGGGGAGCTCCGTGTGCGCCGAGAGCGAGGAGCCCCCTCCCTGACCGGAAGCCGCCCCCTAATTGCTCGACGCCAAGGTCGGTCCCCAGCCCCAACCCCCGCCCCCCGATGAGATGGGCACTGGGCGGATGCTGTATCGGGAAGATGAGATGGACCTCTCTGCCTCGCCTCATGTCTGCTTCACTAGGTGGATGTTGCTCGCCTGTTTAGCATGCCGCCCACGTGAGCGGGGGGCTCGCGCCGTACCAGCCGGAGTCCCGTGTGTAGTGAATGCGTGTGTACAGGAGAGGGAGGGAGGGA